ACAGCTCCTGCTGGCACGGCAGGGTCTGGCCGGTCTTGGGCCTTTCCCCACCTCAAGCACAGCAGGAGCAGCCCCCAGGGGTGTGCAGTCTCCTCCCTCGGCACCACCCCTGCATCGCACACCACTGGTGGGCAGCACCCTGCCGGCACGCAGCCTTGCCCTGGGCCGGGACTGTTGGAGCAGCACCCATGGGTGCTCTGGCACGTGGCTCTTACTGTCTCTGTGTTGGCTGTGATCCGGATCCCTTTGCTGGGTGGGGGCAGCTGTGCTGCCTGCTGCAGGACTTCAGGGAAGGGCAGGAGATAGTTGAAGAGCAGGAGCCACTCACCCTGTGAAAAGATGATGTGTGTCAGAGAGGGCCAGATCCTCCTGGGCCAGCAGCATCCACCACCGGAGCTGAGGGCGCACAGGTCCCCACATTCCCCTTCTCAGCACTCACCTCTTCCCGGAGGCAGGAGAAGTTCAGTTCTGACACTGGCAGCAGAGGTGGGTACGTGCCTGGAAAGGAGGTGGGAGACTGTTGTTGTGCCCAGAGAAGCCCCTGTGGCTCCAGGCGTGAGGAACAGCCCAGGAATGGCTGTTAGAGGAGGGTTGCGGGGCTGGCGCTCACCCCGCTCTACAGCCCGCTGGTAGGTGTCGAAGAGTGTAGCCAGCCGGGCACAGTTGTACATCACGAAGGCACCGCTCTTGGTTCCCTTTGTGGAGATGCTGCTGTCCTCAAGGTCCAGGGTGACCTGAGGGCAGGGAGAATTTGCAGTCCAGGCTGCTCGGCGCAGAGCTGCTCTGGTATTCCCACAGCTTGCCTGCCCCGGCTCTGCACAAACTGCTGTCCTACCTGACTCCGGTGAGCGGTGCTCAGCATCTCAAACCTGATGGCAGCCGCTGTGAGGGTATCGATCACCTCGGTCCAGGCCTCATCTGTGGAGAACACAGGTGGCATCATGCGCAGCTCACTCCATTCCCATGTAATGTCACCCCCAGCGCCCAGGCAGGAACCCCCAATGGGGCCAGGGGGCTCCGGTGGAAGCTGGGGACCACCACGCGTCCCCAGCCCTGGCCCCCCTCTGCAGGTGCTGCTCTGTGCCGGTGCCCCGTGTGGCGTTTTAGACGCCTTCCCCCAAGCAAGGTCAGCACCTGGCTCCATCGCAGAGGGGAGAGGGAGCACCGTGTGGGGGAGAGCCCCGCTGGCTGCAGACACAGAGGTGAGTGGGGAGACTCATGGGAGCAGTGGAGATGGGGAGGGAGCAGCATCCGTGTAGAGCCACAAAGCAAACCCTCACCTTGCGCAAGCTCCCCGTACTTCATCACAGAAGCTTTGTACATCTGGCGCTTTCGGAGCCTGGGAGGAACACGGACACTCACAGCTGCCAGCCCTGGACTGAGCTGGCCCCAGAGAGCGTCCCAGGGCTCCCCAAGCCTTCGGGCTGCTTGGGGCATCCCAGCTGCAGCAGCAACCCAGCCAAGCAAAAGCGGTACAAAATCTCCAGGAGCCGGGCAGGGACAGCCACACTGCGGCAAGCCCCTTGTGCCGCGGGGGGGCCACAAGGAAGCCGCTGCGCCAGGCACAAGCTCTGCCTTTTGGCTGCAAAAGGGCCGCCCCTGCGCCAGGGCTAATGCCTGAAGGCAGGGAAGATACTACCCTGCACCTCTGCGGTGCCCAGCTCCTGCCACTGCCTTTCCTCTCAGCAGCCCCCTGGCAGCACTGGAAGAGGCCACTGGGACTGGGGAAGGCCCTGTGCCTTCCGTTCTGCACCTCCAGTCCTCTCAAAACAGCCCTGAGGACATGGAAAAGCAGAATGGAGGGACTGCACAGAACTCTGTGCGCCACCAGCTCGCTCAGCGCCACAGTGTGGCTGCCTGGGTGCCCACAGGGGCGGGCAGAGCACAGGGAGCCTTGGCAGGCGAGCAGCGCGGCAGGCGCCTTGCTACACACCAACTTACTGGAAGTACTGGTCTGCCCCGATGGGCGATGAGGGGTTTGTCACCTTCACTGGCCCGCAGACAAGGTGTTTCTGAAAGAGAGGGGAGTGGCCAGGGCTGGGGTCAAAGACTCGGAAGCTCCACAAAAATGCAGTGCAGGAGAACCGGGCTAAAACCAGCCCTGTTCTAGCTGTGTCCCCACAGTCTTCTCCTGCCCCTCCTTCTTTAGCGCTGAAATCGCAAGAGCAGAGAGGCTGCCCCACCGCCTGGGCAAGAGCGTGGAGGGGCCAAGGGAAAGGGAAGCCTCACACGGGGGCAAGGCTAGGCCTCAGCATTCGCTGCAGGGACTGAAGGAGGGCAGCTGAGCGCAAGGGTGCTGGGGGGCCACAGTGGGGAGGGTCGGAGGTTCCTCACCTGCAAAGCTGTGTGGGCTCCTGGATCCAAAATCCTCCAGAGCAGATCCAGCTGCTGCTGCTGGAATTCCTCCTCACAGCTCACCACATGCACGATGCTGCAGCAGCTCCCCTGGCCTCCAGCCTGCAGCAGAGCACAGCAGGGAGCTCAAATGCTATCGCGTGACAGAAGGGAGCAATGTCTGGAAAGCAAGAGGCAGGCAGCGCTGCAGGGTTACTCACCGTGCACTGCAGAACGGCTTGCTGCAACTCAGCCAGCGACCGCAGCTTCCCCTCTGTCACTGAAAGAAGGAAGGACACTCAGAGTGGGACACGAGGGTTCGCCATCTCCCCCCACCATCCTGAACCATCGGGTCTGCCCCAGGCCGCCTGTGTTTCTGGCTCAAACCAGACTGAAGGGGAAATAAGAGGAGAAGGCTCCAAAACCCCCGTATTTTCTGTAAAAACAATTGGGAAAAAAGGAAACAGGCCCGTTTGCAGCCGTTCGCTGCCGTTCGCTGCCCCGCTGTCACACTGGAGCTGCTGTACACGTGAGGCTCACCGACAAGGACATCTAGGTTGGGGTCGTAGCCCACCAAGCCCTGCTGCTCCACGAAGCTCTTCAAGTGCACTTTACAGATGACATCCTCAGGCAGCGTGGCTGTGCCCGGCCCCTGCTCACAGGCTGCGGCACAGGGGGACCGGCCCAGCGCTCGCCTCAAGGCCGAGACGGCGTCAGGGAGGGCCGAGCCACCGGAGCCAGAGGGCCAGTCGACGCGGAGCCGCCGCAGGACCGCCCGGACCC